CAGGGCATGGTCCTGGAGACGCGGGATCGAATCCCACGTCTGGCTCCGGGTGCATGGAGCCTGTTTCTCCCTCTGCCTGTGTCTCTGCCTCTCTCTCTCTCTCTATGTGACTATCATAAATAAATAAAATTAAAAAAAAAAGGCTGCTTAAGCTCATTGTCTTAGTAAAGGACTGTAGGATTGCCAGGACCAGAAATCCATTCATATTAGTTCAGTAAGCAAGGAAAATTATTGAATGTCTACTGAAGAATCTTACAGAAAAAAAAAAAAGTACACCCAGAGCAACTGGTCTTTCTCTTATTCTTTTGCTCTGAAGCCCTATGGCTCTTGTCTGTCTCTCCTTCAAGCATCTGTTCCTTTGACTTCTTTCTGCTAGCACATGATTTCTTTGTTCTTCATTTTGGCTGACAGGTGGTTTGGTTTGCTACACAGGTGCCTTGGCCCTAACTCTGCATGTCCCAATCCACTCAGTCTCTTAAATCAAATACTTGAGGCAGAATCCGACTGGCATGGCTTGGGTTGGGCCAGTCAGATGTAGTCAGAGGGAGGCTCATCTGATACAAACATGGTTACTGGGGCTGCAGAAAGGAAGGCAGAGTCTCTTAAAAGGAAGAATAAAATGGAGACAGTAAATGGTAAATCTAATGTACTAACAATGCTGAAAATAAGCGTTATCTACCACCTAGAGGGATGAGTGGATGGACTAGGCTTTCAAATTCTGTTGCCAAATTGAATTATGAAAATTACTTCTTTTGCCCATCAAACAAACTTCTGGAAAAACTTTGTCTTTTCATGTAGATCTGTTAACAGGGAGAAAAGGGGCTACTCGTGCCAGAGTCTTCTGACCCTTCATGCAAATGTATAAATTGGTAACATCATTTTGTATACCTTATATCATAAACATGGTAATGAGAGTAACATTTTGCTCCCACAACTTAAAGTAACATTTTGCTCCCTGGAAAGAAACTATGTAATGCTCCCCAGAATGATTAATTTGGACAGGAAGTAATTTTAATAGATAAGACTGATCACTATTAATAAATAGGTTCTTTTAAAGATAGGATACGAGGGACGCCTGGGTGGCTTAGGGGTTGAGTGTCTGCCTTTGGCCCAGGGTGTGATCCTGGAGTCCTGGGATCGAGTCCCCATCGGGCTCCCTGCATGGAGCCTGCTTCTCCCACTGCCTATGTCTCTGCCCCTCTCTCTGTGTCTCTCATGAGTAAATAAATAAAATCTTAAAAAAAAATAAAGATAGGATATGAATAATACATTAGCAGAAATTAATTATCTAAGGGTGACATGTTTAAATAAAGTGCTTCTACTAGGCATGAAACGCTATCAGTGGGCTTATTTTTAGAGTGCCTTTAAATTAGAGAAAACTATTAGTTCACGGTCGGCTAATAACTTATCCCAGATGGAACATCTCTAAGGAATAACCTTGGAGTAAAGCCTCATAAATATTGCTGCATTGCCTTATTAGAAAATAATGATATTCTGAAGAACTCTGTGTTTTGGTCTTGGTTGTCTGTCTCCTGAAGACCTACACTGGAGGGGCTTGTCCTTTCCAAAATGGAAAGATGAGCCAATTTCAAGAGTCCAGGAATGAGCAAGTATGTGTTCTTCAATCTTCCTTTCCTGATGTGATGCTAGGAAGAGTAAAAACCATTGGGAAGTGCGTACCTTCCATCCCTTTCTTTAGGGCCTGGACTTTTTTTTTAAATTAAGATTTTATTTATTTATTCATGAGAGACACACAGAGAGAGGCAGAGACATAGGCAGAGAGAAAAGAAGCAGGTTCCCTCTGGGGTGCCTGATGTGGGGCTTGATCCCAGGACCCCAGGATCACGACCTGAACCAAAGGCAGATGCTCAACCACTGAGCCCACCCAGGTGTCCCAGAGTATGGACTTAAGAGTGGTAGAGCCTGAGATATAGATATGGATACATATAAATATAGATACAAATGTAGATATATTCTTGAAAGTTCATTAATCCTTTGAGGAAATAATAGCTAATATTTATTAGCACTCTTTACACATTTTACCTCATTTACTCCTCAATCTTATAGAATTGCCATTTTACAGATGCAGAATCTGAAACTTATGGAGATAAAGTATTTTGTCCAAGGCCAAGCTATAAGACTGTTTGGCTCCAGGACAGACTTTTAATCATTATATACTACACTTAAAGAATAATTTACAGCAAGGAAAAGTAGACGCACAGAAAAGATGAATGCTTCAATCCTTCTCTTTGGAAAGAAATCATAAAACATTCATCTATATTTTAAAAGGTGCTGGACTAAAGTAGTTAAGTGTACAGCTCTAAGGTCAGGCTACAGGGTTCAATCCCTGCACTGCCACTTTCTACTCCAGTGATCTTTAGCAAGTTATTTATAGATTTTGTGTTTGGGTTTTTTTGGTAGAGATTAAATAAGTTAAAACATGCAAAACCCTTAGAATAGCATCTGGCATTTAGCCAATAAATACGGGCAATATCACTCCTCAATCAAAATTCTCTTTAAAACAATGGAAAAAAAAACTTTATTCAAGCTGAATGTTATGAATGGTCTTTAGATAGAAGAAAATTAGCCAGCATTAACACACTTTCAGGGCAGCCCTGGTGGCTGAGTGGTTTAGCGCCGCCTCCAGCCCAGAGTATGATCCTGGAGACCTTGGACTGAGTCCCACGTCGGGCTTCCTGCATGGAGCCTGCTTCTCCCTCTGCCTGAGTCTCTCTTTCTGTGTCTCTAATAAATAAAATCTTTAAAACACACACACACACACACACACACACACACACACACACACACACACTTTCATATTAGGTCAAAAGGGCCACAGGTATTGAGATCCCTTGAAAAGCAAAAGCAGAATAATGAAAGGAAGAGACTAGTAAACTGAATGGTAAACTCATTTTGAGACATAAAGAGTACACATAAGCAATCTATACTACTGTGACTAACATGATAAAGGAAATGCTTCCTTCTGTACATTGTTTCTCTTCTGCTCCCTTAGGAACAGTTTTAATTCCAGGAACTACTCAGCTGACCCAGAAAGACATTCTCTACAGACTACAATCTTCGAAAGCAAAGTGCATCATCACCAATGAAGTTTTAGCCTCAGCAGTAGATGCTGTTGCATCTAAATGTGAGAATCTGCACTCCAAGCTAATTGTATCTCAAAAACCCAAAGACGGGTGGGGGAACCTCAAGGAGATGATAAAGTGAGTGGCCATAACTGCTGTAGAACAGCTTCCCCTCAAAGAAAAGGAAACACTGAAAAGATTCAATCCACAAGTGATCAGAAAAATGAAAACTGAAACAAGGCAAAGGGAACAACTGGTGATTATTGCTGCACTCATAATCTGCAAAGCTCTGAGGCAGCAAGGAATGTGGAGTGGTTTTTGTATGTTAGGATCTTGAAGGAAGCAGAAAAGGTTTATTAAAGATTTGTCTTGGGGTCAGCACCTATGAAGGAAGTGGAAGGATAATGGGATTGAGTAAAAAGAAATTCATCTGCCATGCACTCCCCCAGCAAAACCTTCAGCCAATCCACTGGGACCTCTGGGGCTTGGACAGCCCTTCAGAGCTGTTCCCAAATAAAGCAAAGGTCCTGGCCTTTATATACTCATACTGATCAGTAACTGGGTATGGGCTCCCCCTACAAGGAGGGGTGACCTTGAGCAAGGCAGCTCTCTTCAGACTGAAGGAATCTCTAAATAGGGCTCCCAGCACTGGTGGGGAGTAAGTGCTTCATTCTTGCAGCAGGATCTGGGAGGTGCATTCACGGCACCAACCACAGAGCTGTTATCATCTCCCAGGGAAACTGATCATAATCAATTCTTTTGTGTAAGCTATATCATTTCCTTGCAGTTAGCAACACTTCAGGTTATAAATAAGAAGAACACTTAATGTTAATGGATGCAATAAGAAAACCAAGTTACATTGATGTTCAGTCCCTGCTACGGAATGCTTCCAGGGGTTGCTTAGCACTCTTGCCAGGTATTGATTCTAACTTAGCTTTAGGTTGGCAACCAGTTCCCTCTCTAGAATGAACTTCCCACCTTTACTCAAGGATTTGGGAACATGTTTGCAACTACAGACTTGTTCCTCCCTCCTCTGAAATAGCTAACATTTATTGAGTTCTTACCAAAACCCAAGTACTATTCTAATTAGAAATGTTATAACTGCAACAATGGGTAGCATTTATATGGCATTGGTTAAGTGCCCAAAACTGTTCCAAGCATTTCACATATATTAACTCATTTACATGTCTCAATAACCCAAGGAGCAGGTACTATAGTAATACAGATGAATGAGGTCAAATGCTAGGATCTCGCAGAGCTGGGTTTCAAGCCCAGGGAGTCTGGCATCTGCGCTCACACTCCTAACTGCTATGTTTACTGCCTCTAGTGATGAGAGATTGGTAGGATATTCCTACCTTAGGTTCCAAAAGCAATCATATCTACAATAGAAGTGATAGGTATGCAGCTATAGGTACTATTTTTAAGAAAGAAAATGATAGAATCATAGACTAAATAGTTGAGCTTGGTTAGGCATTGAAAACAGCTTTTCTATAATTCTTGTGGCCTGGATGTTTCTAATTCTAATGTTTCTTTCTCAGCCCAATATTCCCAGAAAAAAATCTCTATGCTTCTTAGACAGTGGGTGTGCAGAATTTACTTTCCTATAGCTGATTCTTGAACAATGTGGGAATTACCAACCAGCTTTATACCATTACCCATGACTTCTATTAACATACTTTCTTAAAAAAAATCACATTTGAAAACATCCACAGTTCTCACAAAGCCATGATTATAATAAGATCACACATCCCTCATTCTGCTGGTGGTATGATAAATTGTCTTAAGATTTTTTAAATGCTTCAGCTTTTCTTTATTATACAATAAAAAGCTATGAAGCCAGCTCTTATAAATGGACTTTGATGACAAATTTAGTTTAATTCCAGAAAGCATGTAAGAAGATAAAGAGATGACTTTTACCTTGGAATTCAACCTAAGTCATGGGGGCCTGATCCATGAGGTGAAGAGATCCGAGTAGATGGTTTCTTGAATTCTTTTCTGTGGTAATAGTTTATGATGCCACGTGCAATGTGCAGAATCATTGTAGTTCTTCCTTTGTAGACACGCCAGTGACAACCACACCTGTGTGAATACAAAACATGATGAGATGATGGCCATTTACTTCACCAGTGGAACAAGCGGATCTCCTAAAATGACGGGTCACAGCCATAGCAGTTTTGGTTTAGGATTATCTGTAAATGGAAGGTACTTTCACACAGCTCCAGCTTCATGTGTCAAAATTACAAAGGTGATGATGCATTTATTGGTCTTTTAAAATTTGTTCTCCTTAGTTAAAACAGGACTATTCTTTCTTTTCCCAGGTTCTGGCTGGATTTGACACCTTCAGATGTGATGTGGAATACCTCAGACACAGGTTGGGCAAAGTCTGCTTGGAGTAGTGTCTTTTCTCCATGGATCCAGGGAGCATGCGTATTTGCACATTACTTACCACGTTTTGAGCCAACTTCCATCTTCCAAGTAAGGAGAGCACAAGAGGTCACCATTTAGGAATGCTTTAGCCACGTCCCTAACAGGACTGATGAATAAAAGTAACTTGCAGAAATCAGAGTAGACCACATGGCTTAAGATATTTCACATCTGGAAAGTCAATTATCCTGAAAGGATATACAGAGGAAAGGTGTGGCATTTACGTTAGAATAAGCAATGCTGAGGTTGTGCTGTGCCTGCCATAAACATGTGGGGACTCATTAAAGTTGTAATAGCACTAAGAGTTTACTTCTACATTGCAGACACTTTCCAAGTTTCCCATCACAGTCTTTTGTTCAGCACCGACTGCATACCGAATGCTCATACAGAGTGATATGACCAGGTAAGAAAGGTTGGTTAACATCACTTAGTGGGAGTAGGGGAGAGGAAGAGGAAGTCATAAGATAAAGCATCTTTCTGCCTAAAAACATCGTTCCACGCTAGTAGGTAGGGAATTTAGCAATCTCTTCTCCCCCTTCTCCTTTGTGCTTTTTGTTGTCACCATTGGTACATCCAGGGCAGGCACTCCCAAGCGAGGAAAGGAAAGGGAGGGCTCAGCCATGGGTATACCCCTGAGCCCAGTAGTTATGGATAAAAAAGTGTTTAATCTTTTGGATGACAAATGTTACCTGAGCTGAGAAAGTAGAGAAATGACCCCTTTTTGGAGCCCTACCCCAGCAAATAGGAAAATGGGTGAATGTCTTTTGCTCTATAACTGATTCTATTTGAAAGGGTGCATTGGTAAATATTTTTAAACTGTTAAAATTGTTAAAACTTTTTGAATAGGAAATATTTCATATGACATAAAATTCAATAGGTACATAAGAATGTAGAGTGAAAGGTCTTTCTCTAAGCCCCGTCCTTGGTCTCCATTATCCTCCCTGAAATCTGTGCAAACAAACCAATATGCCAGTGTTCTCACCCTCTCTTTTATAAACATAAATAGAAACATAATATGTTCACAGTCCTGTACTTTCCTCTTATTTGCCTAACAATACATCCTGGAACTGTGTGCTATCCAGTTCTATCCAATATGGTAACCACTTGCCATATATAGTTATTTAAATTTAATTTTAATTAATTAAAAATTCAGTTCCAAAGTTGCACTAGCCATGTTTCAAGTGCTCAATAGCCACATAGGGCTAGATAATACTGCAGTGGATAGTGCAGATAAAGAACACTTTGATTGTGTCAAAAGTTTCTATTGGAAAGCACTGTCTAGGAGCTTACTTATTTTTTTATTTTTATTTTTTAACAGCTCTACAGTATTCCATTGCATAATATTCTACAGTCAATTTAACCACACAATTGGTAAATTTTTAATCACTGGTTTAAAATGTTATCATGCAAAACCTTCCCTGAGGATGACATGGCTTTTTTTTTTTCAACAGATCACACACTCCCCCCCAAAAAAGTGGGAAAAAAATGGATGTCTTGGGAGTCATTTTATGATGTTAGAATGGTTTATTTTGTATTGGAGAGGGGAGGAAAGGAGGAAGGAACAAAAACGTACCTTATATTGAATTTCATTAGAAATAATTCTAATTTTCATTTCTCTCCATTTTTTCTCCTAAATTCAATTTTTCTATTTTGTGAGAAGCTATGAGTTCAAAAGCTTAAAGCACTGTGTGAGTGCGGGCGAACCAATCAATCCTGAGGTTACTGAACAATGGAGAAAAAGGACAGGTCTGGATATCTACGAAGGATACGGACAGACTGAAACGGTATAGGATCTCATTGAAAAGACAGGGCTGGACTTAGTTGGATAAATAAAACCTGTAAATAAATATAAATAATTGGTAAATAATTTTTAAAATAAGTGTTTATTATATGCTTATGATTGAGGGATAGGAGGTAGATGAGTGGTTAGAATAGTTAAAAAAAAAAAGTTGGGGGGACAGCCTGGGGTGGTTCAGCAGTTTAGTGCTGCCTTCGGCTCCGGGCGTGATCCTGGAGACCCACAGGTGTGGATGACTCCCACATCGGGCTCCCTGTATGAAAGCCCGCTTCTCCCTCTGCCTGTGTCTCTGCCTCTCTCTCTCTCTCTCATGAATAAATAAATAAAATCTTAAAAAAAAGTTGGGGGACTCCTAGGTGGCTCAGTGGTTGAGTGTCCACCTTTGGCTCAGGACGTGATCCCTCAATCTCAGGATCAAGTCCCACGCAGGGAGCCTGCTTCTCCCTCTGCCTCTACCTCTGCCTCTCTCTCTCATGAATAAATAAATTAAATCAGAAAAAAAAAGTTGGGAGGGAAGCTAGTTGCAAAAAAGTTCTGTAACAGACACAGTTGTTCACGCATTCATTGAGAAAAACCACTATAGAGCTGATCAAAGTGAGAGCATTAAAATATATTTTAAGTGAAAGAATGCTAGATCTACAGAAAGATGCCCCTATAACTCTCTTAGGGCTGCCTCAAAAATGGAGAATGCTGAGTTCCTTGTTACTTGAAATATTAAGAGTTCACTAGATGACTCCTTGGCAAATATACTCTTAAAAAGGGTTATTTAAGGAGCTCGTAGAAATAAGGATAAGAAGAAATCCTAGGGGAAATGAATAAACTACTAATAAAAGTGTAAGGAAGAGGAGGCATACAATGGAGCAGATAAAGGAAAAGCTGAAAGAAATTTTTCATAGCGTGTCTTTTTATAATGCTTCTATTTTTAAACCATAAGAATGTAGTACCTGGTCAAAAATTAAAATATCAAAAATAAAATTGACAGATATATTAAATAGAAACAACATAACAAGTATCATGCTAATATAGGTACAAATATTTTCATAAATATGAATATTTTAGTAATTATCAATTTATTAAGTGTTATAACTTTAAGTATTTGATTAGCATCTATCTTTACACTCCACAAGAGCAGAAAATTTGTTTTATTTTGAGCCTTGGTCATCATGAGTTCCCAATAAATATTTGTTGAATGAATGCATGGTGGATGAATAAATGAATTTTAAGTTTCTTATAACGTTACTTGACTCTTTCTCCTTGTTTTTTTTTTTCTTTTCTCTCTCTCTCTCTCTCTTTTTTTTTTCCTCTTTCTCCTTCTGAACTAGGTGCTGATCTGTGGAAATTTTAAGGGAATGAAAATTAAGCCTGGCTCAATGGGAAAGCCGTCTCCTGCTTTTGATGTTAAGGTTTGTACACCCCTTCCAGGAGAATGTTTAAGGATCCAATCGGTTTACCACTTAACAGCACTCTACCCTCCCCAACACTCCTAGTTTTGGTGATGATTTCATGTTACTTATATGATATCTTAATTACCATGTAATGGAAATGGATTAGAGACATTAGTTTAGTGGTCTCCACTTTTTTTCTTGCAAAGCAGTTTCTTGTGCCAAGCAGTTCTAGGCATTTTATAAATATTAATCCATTTGATTCCCTGAAAGAACCTATGAGAGACATACCAACATAAGAACCATTCTAGAATGGCTGAAGGGGAAGTAGGAGGTACAGCCTCCCAGTTATAGAATGAGTAAGTTACAAAGATAAAAGACACAACATAGGGAATTGAGTCAATGGTCAATGATTATATAATAGTATTGTATGGTGACAAAAGGTAGCTATATTTGTGGTGAGTGTAGAAAAATATATAAACTTGTTGAATCACTATGTTGTACACCTGAAACTAATGTAACATTGCATTTCAACTGTACATTAATAAAAAATAAAAAAGAACCATTTTATAGATAGGCACAGAGAGGGAAGGAATTCATCAGAGGTCACATAGCTAGTAGCTACTAGTGCTGGGATTCAATCCCAAGCAATCTGGTTCCAATATCTGTACTCTTAACCACAGCACTATACTGCCTTTCTGATAAGAGAGGTCAAGACCTTCTAAGGGGTTCAAGAAGGCCAAAGGAAGCTACAGTTTATAGTAGCTGAAGTATCTTTCTCCTTTCCCAGGCCTGCCTGGCCATTTCCTGGCTCTTTGTAACCATGGCCATTATTACCACCTGGTCCCAAAGGAGCATCCTATTATCCCATCTGCACACTTTGTACAGGGTTAGAATGGTTCTCAGATCAGCAGACCCAAAGCTAGGTATAGCCAAAGGAACTGACACTACTACATAAGAGAAAACCATAGCATAGTATCAAAAACACAAAATGGATGAATTTTCAGAATGAGGCACTCAGTACCAAACCTAAATGAGGGTAAGTTATAGATTAAATCAATGTTTCCCAAGCTTTTCTGATCATAAGGATTACATGGACACTTGTTAAAAAATACTTATTCTCAGGCCCCTTCTAGGTAGGACCCTGAAATCTGTATTTTAATGTTTTTTTTTTAATTTTTATTTATTTATGATAGTCACACAGAGAGAGAGAGAGGCAGAGACACAGGCAGAGGGAGAAGCAGGCTCCATGCACCGGGAGCCCGACGTGGGATTCGATCCCGGGTCTCCAGGATCGCGCCCCGGGCCAAAGGCAGGCGCCAAACCGCTGCGCCACCCAGGGATCCCTGAAATCTGTATTTTAAACAAGGATCCCACTTCTTATGATCAGAGAGGAAGTTTGAAATGGATTGATGTCAGTTTATATAATAAACCAGATGT